ACTTGATAGTCAAATCAAGCATGTCTTAAATACACTACTCCCTCCGTTTTAATTTAAGTGAATTAGTTCCTTTTTAGTCCGTGCCAAGAAAGACTTCTTTCCTTGTTTGGAAATAATTTACCTTTATGCAATAATTGATAGTCACACAAAATATATGTACCTCATTTTAAATCACAAGTTCAAAAGTCTTCTTTCTTTTCTTAATTAAAAGTCGTACTCAGTCAAATGGTTTCAAATACATTGAAACGGAGGGAGTATTATATTATTTTGTTTATACTGCTAATATATTTTATCATGTTGTACTAAGTAAATGCCTTATTAGCTCAATAAATGTGGTGGTATGAATGAGATCCCTCCACATAAACTAGAAACTTTTTATTCGAGCCCTGTGAATGGAGAAACTTTTTGTCGGAAACGCTTTTCCGTTTCATAAGTTTTGTCTGAAACGAATCTGAATTAGTTGTGCCAATGTGATACCGAATAACTATAACATAGTCCGAAACTTTAAGCATGTCAAACAGGGGTGCATCAATATGATGAGAAACTTATTAACTTCGTCTTGCCATGATATGAATATAACACAGGATTATGGAGTTAGATTGCTAATGTATCGTACTCCTTATTTGGTGGACATGGTGAAAGAAAACATTGGAACAGTGCTGAAGTTGGATTCCATTACTGATGGCAATGCTTGGAAAGGAATGGATGTATTAATATTCAACTCTTGGCATTGGTGGACTCATACCGGCAATTCCCAGCCGTAAACTCTCTCTACTTGCCACTAAACTCATAGCCCGTTTTGATTACTAAATTCGCAACTTAACATTTATACGTATTGAATATTTGAATATATGTTGCAGGTGGGATTATATACAAGAAGGGAATAAAGTTGTCAAAGATATGAACCGTATGGTTGCTTTCTACAAAGGAATGACAACATGGGCTAGATGGGTCAACAAAAATATTGATCCAACTAAAACTAGAGTCTTCTTCCAGGGAATTTCCCCCGTTCACTATCAGTAAGCAATTAATTGCCTCCCTGTTCATTATTAGAATTTATATTCTATACATTGACAACGTCAATTTTCTTTATATTATTAGGTTAAGTTCAATAACTTGTAACGTTACGTACACGTCAAGCCTTATAACTTGCTATAACCGATTAAATCACACTAGGTGTAAAAGTACTTTCATTGCCAAGGTTAACACTCTTAGCAAATGTCACCAACGAGATAGTCTAGTATTTAAAAGATCACAATATAGTCATATATAGTACACGAGTTCAAATCTCACTGACTTCATATTGCACGTGCAAACAAATTCCAAATTTGAAGTAGATAAGAAGAAAAGGTTATACAATCAAACCTTTTTATAACAATCTTATTTATTGCGAATATTTTTGAATGTTATAGCAAAGTACTGTTATAGAGAACATATATTATAACATAACATAAATTTTAGTTCCGGAAAAGCTTGGTTTTTATATAGGGATACTGTTATAGAGAGGTCTAACTGTATATATGAGGTACATATACTCTTAATCGTTAGCAATGTAAGAATTTTTTTCAAAAGCCAATGAAGTTTGAGCTAAAACGAACAGTACTATCACACTTTTTTTTTTAAAAGTGTTTTGGGGTGACTTAGCCCAACAACCTCATCATCTTCACTTTTTTTCTTTCTCAATTATATATTATTTGTAAATTTGTACAAGATGCTTATGTGATCAAAATTTCAGGGGCAAGCATTGGAACGAACCATCAAAATCATGCAAAGAAGAAACACAACCATTCTTTGGTACAAAGTATCCAGCAGGGACACCTCAAGAAGCCATTGTGGTCAACAAAGTAATGAGCAGAATTAAAAAATCAAAAGCTTATTTATTGGACATTACAACTCTCTCACAATATAGAAAAGATGCACATCCAGGATTTTATAGTGATATGCATGGATCAGACTGTAGTCATTGGTGTCTTCCTGGATTGCCTGATACTTGGAACCTTCTTCTTTATACGGCTCTCATAGGTTGAACAAGTTTCAGCGACAGAACTGTTTTGAAAGATCATTCATAATATGTCGTGACGGTAAAATCGTCACAAAAAGTCTTATTTCTTGTTGTGCATAACCATTATTCTCTAGCTACCATGATACATTTTTCCATTTTAGGAGATGTGTTATTTATGTTGACTATTAGGAATTTGATTAATTCTATTTGTCACAAAATAAGAAGGTTGATGTTTGAATTGTAAAGTGGGCATAAGATTTTAAGGCATGAAAGGATGCCTTGGTCGAGGTGAGGGAATATTGTTCTACCTAATGCTTATTTAAAGGAAAAGATTATGAAGTTGTTTTTCATCATTTTCACATTGCTTTTCTTGTTTGCCTAAACTAGTCCAATAGCCTTTTGGTTTGAGTGAGCAAAATCTCTTGGATTCTGAGAGTGACCCTATTGTAGCAATTTGTATGTCAACTTTTATGCATATTGAAGTCATCATTCACTGGTCAAGGGAAAATTCAAAATATAGAGGTAAAAGGAAAAGATAAAGTCTTGCTTACCTAATACTCTATCCGTCCCAATTTATATGATTATTTATAGATTTTGAGAATCAAATAAGTTAATATTGATCGTGAATTCGAATGTAGAATCTTTAAGTTTTTGAAATAAAATTTATATTTTCGGAAACTGCATAAAAATGACTATAAGTCACAATAATTAATAATTTAAAATATTAAAAAAATATAAAAAAATATACGATAAAAAAACTCGTTTGACTCTAGAAATTCGAACTACTACATAAATTATGATGAAGTGAATATCTTTCAAAGTAATCCAAACTTTAAAGATAAAATTTTGCATCCAAAGGCATCAGGCATGAATAAATTTTCCAATGTTATATGTTTGTTTATAAGATGGTAAGTAGAGGGCCGGATACACGTTCGATTGATTTCCGTAGTTTTTTCTCAAATATATATTTGTACTAGTAAATTTTTCCTAGCTTCGCGCGATATGAACTTTTTTTATTATATTATGAATATCTTTCTCTAATATTTGATAATTAAAAAAACCAAAAAGTAAGTGTATACTATTAGTCTATTGAAATATTTTTTCAAAAACCGGTTGAGGCCTTTAGTTAGTTTTCAATTTACTATTGACATTTTGTTTGAAAAGAAAAAATTGCAAAAACATTGTTACCTTTAATTTTTATGTTTTTACATCATGTTTGTAGTCCCGCCTTTATTTTTTTACAGATATTTGAATGCATATTTATCTCTCGCACAATTAACTCCTTATTTTTATCCTTAAATAAGTGTAAGTGTATATATATTTACATGCATAATATTAATTACTTGAAACAAGTGTGTATAATCTTTATTTCTTTTCTTAAAAAGTGAAATTTTAATGCTAAACAATTCAAAAGTGTTATGCATGGTGTTCAAACCAACCTGAATCAAACTGACATTAAGAAATTGATATACATTTAGTTTGATTTGATTCAGTTTGATATTGAGGAGATAAGAAAAATCAACCGTTATATGAATATATTTATTTTTTAAATAATGTTTAATCTTTATACAAGGATTTTCTTTAAAAAAATATGTCTAGACATGTTTGTGATTTTCTCAGCCTTTACAGTCATTCAATTCAATTAATTTTCTTTAAATAATACTTCAATATTCTAACGTGCACGATACCTTTTCATCAAACGTTGTTGACTGCTTCACTTGTAAATATAGAAAAATAAAAAATAATAATTTGAAGTCAGCACCTAATTATAATTTAGAGTCACCACCTAGCAACAAAAACAACCGGTTCAAGAGTAGTGGTATAAGGTCAAATGGTGAAGAATCTATGTGAACAATATAAGTGTCCCCGTTAAATTCTGTAAGTCTATTTATATCTACCACATTTATAGCTGACTCCATTCCTGATATAGAATGTCTACTAACGTTAAGTCCAACAAATAAGAAATTATCAAAATAAGATAATCGTTTGCCGTGACATGTTTTGGATATCTATTTGCAAAATTTAACATTCACAAATACAACAAAATAAAGTAGAATAAAATAGAAGTACATATTAGAATCAGAAAAAGATCATAAAAATAAAAGAAGTTTAACTTTTATACATCGACAATCTAAAGTAATTGAATACTATCAAAGCTCCTAGCAAATAACCACGGATAACCGATCAAAAAATAAAGATTAATAAAGATCGTTATATACATAAAAAAAATAGTTAAAAAAGAACTAATAACTGCATTGCAATAAATAAATTAGTTTATTTTCTAATGATCCCATCGATATGTCATCAATATTAAAAATAAAACTCCTCCGCATACTAAATCAATTGAAGAAAAAGAGATAGCACTATTATGAATAATATCTATGTAAAATACACGGTCTATTTAAAATAGAGGGAAACAACATATTTTTTTTCTTTTCACCTTGACTAACGACTATTCTAGACAAAATTGTACGTCAATATTGAATTAACATATTTGATATTTACGAATTCAATCTAATCATAATCAATAAAATAATTACATAGTCTAAGTCGTAGGAATCTAAAATAAAAATTTGGAAGCCTATTACAAATTGTACATCCTATAAGCTTGTTTTAAGTATTTTTTTTTAACACGTATGATATTGCAAATGCATTATTAGACAAAATAACTACGCTTTTTCTTTGTTGCTCAACAAATTAAGAGATTCTTTTGTTTCCTTCCTTTTTTTTAAGGAAGTATTTGTGAAAAAAAAATCATATACTAGAGATACAGTTACTTCACGGGGTTGCCGTCTGTTCTAAGGATATTTAATCTTATTAAGGAACAGTCATACATTTGGCTGAAAGTACACTTGGATGTAGTATAAAGAAGATAAGTTTCATCTTCAACCCAAGTTCCTTCAAAGAATTTGCAGCTCTGTTGTGGATAAAATGGATGATGCATTTGCATTTGCTTTTTTATGGTGAAAAAGAAGAACAAAAAAACTTAATGTTAATCATGACTACTACTCTTAATATTCTTAAAGAAATTTCAGCCACCTTGCAAGCAAATGTTTTTTTATCTTGTGTAACCTTAATCTTTACAGAAAAAAATAGGAACATAATTGTCTCTTTTGCAACGTCTGTCCTTTGATGTCCTGCAATTAAGTTGGCAATAAAGATGATAAGTTTGTGTAACTATTTTTATGATTACTGAGATGTAATGAGATGCAATAATATGATAGTAATTAAAATGATCAATTTTCAGTGGGTGGAATGAAGGAAAGAGGCAAAAAAAAAAAAAAAAAAAAAAAAAAAATAGAAAAAAAGATAAATAGTAATCCTCATCTTTGAGAGGTGTCACATCAGATCTATTAGTCCCGAATATATATATATATATATATATATATATATATATATATATATATATATATCATGT